ACTCCTATTTTGTTTGTACTCGTTTATTGCTAGTTGTGAAAGAGTGTTGTCTTTGCAATTCATTAATAGATTACAAAAAGTAAGCTACTAATAGGAGTTTTTTTTTGTCATACCATCTTTAGGAGGTGATATCATAATTCAGAGCTCAGAACTGCTATTCTGGTCTTCAAAATGGTTGTAGTTATGGTCACTTTATTTATCTCGGGCTTCCTGTTGGTGCAAATATGGAACTGGTAAACGAGTGGGACCTATTGTTTCAAAGTTCAAGACTAAATTAGCAACATGGAAGGCTTGACTTCTTTCCTCAGTTTTTGATTTGGGAGGCTTTGGGTGGGAGTTTAAAAGCTCTAAATTGGGTTCTTTTGGGTAAATGGTAGTGGAGATTTTTCAATGAGGGTGATGCATTATGAGTTAGAATTATTAAAGGGGTTTTGGGGCCGATAGTGGCGTCAAGTAGGTGAATCTGGGAGGTATACTCTATCTTTTGGGGTTTGGGGAGGAATTATTAAGACGGGGTTTATGATAAATTGTTAAATATAGATTTTGTATCGTCCTTTGGTGAGAGAGTGGGAATGGGTTACCTACTTCCTTTTGGAAGACAAGTGGGTGGGTAACTAAAAGCTACGTGATAGTTTTCCTCAATTCTTTGGATTAGAAAATAGAGGAGGTGTCTCGATAAGGGACATATTAGTCTCGGAGGAGGGTTCACTTCGATGGAATTGGGATTGGTGTTGGGAACTAAGGGGTAGGGCTTGTTGAGAATTTTTTGACCAAAATAAAAGAAAAGATTTGAAGACTTTTCCCACATCGGTGGAGCAATGAAAGGTGAAAGGGACTCCAAGCCTATAAAAAAAGGGTCCAAGACATAGGTTTCAAATCATCCCAATAAAATACACTTGAGTATTTTATTATTTCTTTCTCTTGTTTTAAAGTGTAGAAAGATGTGAGTTAATTATTTGAGAGTGTAGGTATGATTAGGTGAGGCTTGAGAGATTAAAATTGTGTGATTTAATAATTTTTCACATAGTGGATTTTATCTCTAGAGGCCTGTGGTTTTTCTCCCGTTTTGGAGTTTCCACGTTAATTCTTGTCTTCTTCTTTTCTCTATAATTATTCATTGCTTGAGTTGTTGGAAAACTCTGAGGTCAATTTTCTAACAAGTGGTATCAGAGCTCCATGTTGGAGGATGTCTCGATTAGAGGGTTCTTAATATGCTTTGTGGTTGCAGCTTTGTCTAATCTTGCACATCATATGAGAATTTATCTTGGTTGCTTTGTGTGCAATAGAATTGTGTGCAATAGAATTGTGTGTGGCAGGAGTACGGGCATCTTAGGAAACTTTTTTTTGGATGTGTTACTCATAGGCTATAAGAACTTTTATATTATACAATATTGATTTTTGAGGCGTTGATACATGTCAAAGTTTTCAAGTGCTATGAAGTTTGATGTAGAAAAATCTGATGGAAGGATGGGTGATACAATCTGGGTTACATAAGGCATTGAGGGGAAAACCAGGTTCCAGGGGCAAATCAAACGGTACTAGTAAAAGCGAGAAAGAATAGGATGATTTGGATTTGAGAGCAGCAAGCATAATTTGTCTATGTCCGGCAAAGAATGTTCTTGCAAATATGCATGGGATATCAACGACGAATGAGCTTTAGGAGAAGCTTGAGCAGTTGTATCAGGGCAAAGGTATCTCAAATCGATTGTATCTTAAGGAACAATTTCATACTCTATGTATGGATGGAGGTACAAAAATTTCAGATTATCTAAATCTTTTTAGCAATGTTGTTTCCGAACTAGAGGCTATCACAATTGAGGTAGAAGATGAAGATAAAGCATTGAGGCTCATATTACCTTTGTCATCTTCCGATGAGCACATGAAGCCTATAATGATGTTTGGGTAAGAGATCTTGAAGTTTACGGATGTTACTAGCAAACTCTTATCCAAGGAGAAAAGATTGGAAGGTAGGAATATGAATTCAGCATAAGGTAAGGTTTTGTTGACTAGGAAAAGGAAGAACAAAAACTCCAGGAAGAATCTAATATGTTGGAACTGTGGACAATCTGGGTATGTCAAGAACAATTGTCCAGGTGGAGCGGGTTCGACAAAAGACTCCAATAGATGCTAACAATGTCTCTATTCTCAAGGGAGACGATGAGTTTTGTTGAGATATAAGTGAAACATCCTCATGGTATGTCCGCTTTACCATGGAAAAAGGATGTTTTCCGGTTAGCGGTTCCACATATTTACACGTGTGCATTGGTTTGGCATGGATGCAAGGTGTGTGGTCTGAATGATGTCGATGGCTGATGACTTTCCGGGTAAACCAAACGAGGAAGTTGCACCATAAAGTTTTAACAAGTTTTTCGACATCTGCCGAGGTAAAATTCTTAGAATGGATTATTCTAACTGGTGAGACTCTTTCATGGTGGAGTATGAGAGTTCTCTGATTTGAGAATTATGATAGTCGGTTTTGTACTGAAGACTTTCTTTTATTTAACCAAGGTGAAGTTTGTTGAGAATTTTCTGGCTAAAATAAAAGAAAAGCTTTGAAGGCTTGTCCCACTTTGGTGGAACAATGAAAGGTGAAAGGCACTCCAAGCCCATAATAAGGGGTCCAAGGCATAGGTTTCAAATCGTTCCAATATAATACACTTGAAGTATTTTATTCTTTCTTTCTCGTTCTCTTGTTTTAGAGAGTAGAAAGGTGTGAGCTAAATCTTTAAGAGTATGAGTATGATTGGGTGATGCTTGAGAAATTAGAACTTTGTGATTGTAATAATTTTCACATAATGAATTTTCTCTCTAGAGGCATGTTTTTCTCCAGTTTTGGAGTTCCATGTTAATTCTTGTCTTCTTCTTTTCTTTATAATTATTCATTTCGTGGGTTGTTGGAAAACTCTGAGGCCAATTTCCCAACAGGGCTAGGGGTGATCTCGAGGAACTTATGAATCTAGGATCCTCACTAAATTCATTGGATGAGGTGAAAATAAGTGGTGGTAGTTCCTCGCCAAAGACAGTTCTTTTGCTGTTAAGAAATTAAGAAGGTTTAAAATTCTTGGTATCTCGAACGATAGGGTAGTAACCCCAAGGTGTAAACTCGTTCCTCTAAAGGTGTTCATCTTTATTAGGAGACTTAACCTGGGTATACTTCTATTTCGGGAATATCTTAATTATCTTGGCTTTGATCTCCATTCAGAGTTATGTCCAAGATACGGATTGGAGGTTGAATCCTTGGACCATTGTTTAGCAACATTTTGCAGGTATGGGAAAGCTTTCAGAGATGGTACAAAATGTTTTTGCTGTCCCCATTGGATCTCAGTAACAATTTGGAAATTCCTAAGTGGGTAACCCCACCTTCGTTGCGTGAAGTAGCACAAGCAACAATCTGGACCACCCTTTTGTAATTTGGAGAAATTGAAACAAAGTACTTTTCTATATTGGCTGCTAACGTTGTAATCATTCAAATATAATTTTTGATACCCAATTCCAGTCGATTTTTTAGGCTTCATCACGGTCAAAAGCCTTGACATCTCATGGAGTTCATGGTTTTCAGGAAACTTCTATTATGATGGTTATGAACATATCTTCACAAAGTTGTGAGCTACTTGACCTATCGATTCTGTTTTGTTTGGTTTATATGCCTTGTAGAATCTAAGGGGCCGTTTACCCAAATACTTACCCGATAAGTGCTTATCGGTATGAGTCAACACTAGAATCTATTTTACCAGATAAGATTGTAGTATATTAAAATGGTATCGTATGCAACGCTTACCCGGGTAAGAGTCCTCACCGTCACTTACCGGATAAGATTCTCTATCCCTATCATCGCTCTTACCGGGTAAGATTTTCAGCCCTTGTCATGTGCATCACGTAAAGAAAGTTACCTGATCCACACTAATAAAATTTGTTTTCCTTTAAAAAGAACTAGAAGGGTATTCGTGCAATGCATCGAGACACATTTCCATTTCAATGTTTTGTTTTAATTTTTTATCCATGTCGATATAATACAATTTTATGTGGTTTTGAGAAAGCGATAATGTTTTTATTTTTAAATAAAATATAAATCTGAAAATATCATATAAAATTTGCAAAAAATATATCAATATTAGGGGGTGTTTGGGATTGCTTATTTAAAACAACTTATGCTTTTTTTTAAAAGTGCTTATTAACTTATGTGGTATCAAACCGGAGTTAAATAAAACATGATTAAAATTGTAAACTGGTAATAAACAGTTTTTCATAAGTCAGGAAGAATTAACTTATCAAAAACAACTTATTACCGGTTTGGTACTAGTATAAGTAGTTTTTTTTTCTTATACAAACATTAGAAAACAGCTTATCACCGGTGTCAGACTGAAATAAGTTAAAAAACAGCTTTCATAAGCAATCCCAAACACCCCCTTAATATCAAATTATCTAATTAAAAATTCTTGTTTGTTTATTTTTTTTAATTCAAAATTTTTATTATAATTAAATTTAACGTAACGAATTAACTTAATTTAGGTTTGATAATATTTTTTTATAAAGATAATAATTAAGTATTTTGTTAGAACTCAATAATTATCCTAAATATATTTTATATTTTTTATATTTTAAAATGAGATGTTTATCCTCTATTTGATTATGTTTATCCGCAATTAATGACACGAATTCAAACATAGAGCTTTAATAAGTTATATTTATGCACAATTTACTTGTAATCTTGAATTTTAAGTAATATGCATTAATAAACAATACTTTATGCATAAAAAATATTTTTAAGAGTTTTTTTCAAATGCTTTATAATATAACATAGATATTTATTATTTTAACTTTTTCGGATAATATTTTTGATTTTTTTTTGAAAGAATTATTTTAATTTTTAATATTTCTACGGTGTGGGGTTGGTCTTTTCATCTCTTCTGCCATAAACTGCGGAGATATTTACGGTTCATCTCCTTTGAACTGATTTCACTGCAGCAGCTAAAGTACGCCATCCAAATAGCATTGCTAAAATGCGCCAAGACAACCCACCAGGCCACCGCCACTGTTTAGAACCGGCTTTTGGGAACTTCCATTTTAAGCGCCCTGAATCTGGAGGAGCAGACTGTATTTACAAGTCTTGAAGAACGGAAAAAGTTCACACTTTCACACGCTCTTTTCACTTTCATGTGTGTGCAAAAACAGAGCAAGTTTACACAAACTTCGAGATAGAAGAACAAGATATTACATATATATATATATATATATATATGTATATGTTGTTAGAGGAAGACAGAATCTATATAGTAAAACAAAATCCATAGGTTCTGCTAGTGAGATTGGGGATTTTCTTAGTTTGGCGGTTTCTAATTTGCTTGAAGAATCAATAGAATACGAGGAAACGCAGATCAGTTCTCATCAAGAATTGTAATGGGTATGTCATCCCTTTTACTCTTCTTCAAATTAGTTTTCTTAGCCCTTAGTTTCTCATTTCTGGGAAATTTTTCTCACAGTATTTGGTTGTCTGAAGACTTCAATTCATAATTTCTTTTGTTTTCCCAATACGTTTTGTTGTTTGCATCATGCCATCATTTCATCTGAATTGAATCGTGTTCATCTGTAAAATTTTCAGGTTTTTTCGATTTTCTGATTTGGGGAATTTTGGTTAAGCATATCGAGTTCGTATGTTTGTTTAACTTGGTTGAAATTTGGTCTTTCAATACTCTGATTTCCTGCAGCTTTTTATTTTTACTTTTATCTTTTGGGTATGTGAAAATAGCTCCCACTGGGTGGTAAGGAACCCCACCATACCCACATGGACAGAGAAACTTGAACACCTTTTCTTTGACGGTTCTGCGCTTGTCTATTGGCCATCTTGGCATCTGGCCATCTGGGGTTTTTATTCCTCTTTCAAATCTTCATCATCAATCGTTATTTTCTGCCCACACGTTCCTTTTTTACTTACTTCATACTCTTTGTTGGTATCTTCTTTGTTACTATTTTGTGATTGGTAATGGTGAATCATGGTATATATCTCACTTTCTAGATTACTTGTGCTTTTTCTTGCAAGTGCATCTAATCTGTTTGATGAAATTCCTCAGAGACTTGTAACATGAGCTATTCTCCAAATATGGAAGAAGAATATCAGAAATTTATTCGAAGAATGAATCCACCCCGAGTTGTAATCGACAATGATTCTTGTCAAAATGCCACTATCATTCAGGTCTGCATTTGTTCTTTCTCTTTTCAGCTCATTTGATCTGGGATGTTATCCATTTTCTGTTAAAATTGATTATATATCAAACAGGTGGATAGTGCCAACAAACATGGAATACTTTTGGAGGTTGTACAAATTCTCACAGATTTGAATTTTGTAGTAAGAAAAGCTTACATAAGCTCCGATGGCGGGTGGTTCATGGATGGTAATGCTCCTAGCATTGTTCTATATTGGTATTAATTCGATGTAATGTTAATCGTGCTTGCTGTTTCTTTTACAGTCTTCAATGTCACTGACCAAGAAGGAAACAAAATTACAGATAAAGAAGTTTTGGATTATGTTCGTAAGGTAAGCTTGTGTGTTCATGGCTCCTTTGTAGGCAATCCCGTGGGTTATAAGAAGGGCAGTTCCTTTTACTGTTCGATTCCCATTGGGTGCAAAATACCCTTGTGGCCACGCCAACCTCCCTCCCATAGGGACGGCTTTGCCGGTTATAGGACTGTGTGGCGGTGGCCCTAGACCACATGGATTTGTGGGTTGCTGATACCACTTTCACATAGTTTCAAAAGTTATCTGCATATGCCTTTACTTGTATAGTAAAGGTGCGTTTGGTACAACAATAGACCGGAAAAGGACAGGATCTGAGTGGGATAGAAATGCATATTTTCTCTCACCCCAAAACAGGTGGAACAAAAATCAAGGAGACGGGACAAGATTGGTATCTTAATAAACTACCGTGTCAAATTAAACCTTAAAACCTTCCATAAATCTCTCACCCGTCTACCTAACTGTCATTCATCCAGTCCTGTCGTGTATGTACCAAACACACCCTAAATGGGTACATTCTGATTTCTTAAGTTGATCTAGGCTTTTGGCTCAGAGAGTAGCTTCATGACAATGGTGAAATCTATTGGGATGATACCCTCAGATGACCACACCGTAATCGAGTTGATTGGAAGTGACAGACCTGGATTACTCTCTGAACTTTGTGCTGTGCTCACACACTTAAAGTGTAATGTTTTGAATGCTGAGTTATGGACTCACAACACACGAGCTGCATCTGTAATGCAAGTAAGCGATGAGGAATCTGGTGCAGCCATTTCTGATCCAGAAAGGCTCGCTAACATAAAGCAAATGCTATCCAATGTGCTTAAAGGGAGCAATGAAGCTCGAGAAGCTAAAACTGCTGTTGGTCATGGTGTTACGCATACCGAGAGACGGCTTCACCAGATGATGTTCTCTGTTAGAGACTATGAGAGGGGTGCTTATGAAGGTTCCGATGAAAAACAAAGGCCTGTTGTGAATGTTGTTGATTGGTACGATAAAGATTGTTCAGTGGTCACTATTCGTTGTAAAGATCGCCCTAAACTTCTGTTTGACACGATTTGCACTTTGACCGACATGGAGTACGTGGTTTTTCATGGGAATGTTGATGCTGAAGGACCAGAAGCTCATCAGGTTTGTAGAATCTTGAAAAAAACATACTAGAAAGATGGTAGCTTTCTTAGAATAAATTTCAACCTCTTTTTGGGTTTATAATTTTTGATGAATTTTAGTGTGTTTGGTGTTGAAGGAATACTGTATCAGACATATAGATGGGTCTCCCATGAAATCAGATGCAGAGAGGCAAAGAGTGATCCAATGTCTTGAAGCAGCCATAGAAAGAAGAGTATCTGAGGTAAGACTGGGCCATTTTCTTGAAAATTTTCTATATTATATTATAAAAGCATTTTTGTTTAAAAACAGATTATTATGCATCAGTTACTGTACATCCCTTCAAATTTTCATTCTTGATTTACAACAATATTCTACAATCTGCTGCATTGTACGGATACACAACTAGTTTTTCAAGAACGATGCATGACAGAAATCACTCTAACCATAGATGATATAATGTGACATTTTAAGATCTGAAACTTGTTTGTTTAATGGTGTCTGCAATAAATTTCTAAAAGGTGCATCAGGTCTCCATTGTTTTTCAAGTCTTATTCACATCCGATAATACTTAATAGAAATCTGACCAAAACACGAGAAATCGACAGTGCTAACCCGATGAAAAATCGGTCAAATTAACTTTTGCAATTTGTCTGATTATGTTTTCTGACACCCTCTTGTTTTCTTGCTGGAACTTGATTCTTTGATTATGATACAGATTCGATTAATAGTTTATATCATGTTTCAGAGCAAACTACAGTGTTCTGTTTTTTTTTGTTATTTTATTTCATGTATTTTTTTTAATAAAAAAAAAAATATGATGCCAAAAAATCTTGTCTTTATTAGGCCCATAACCCAAGGGGTTGGTTTGCTTCACTTAGGGGCCATTTACCGATCAACAAGAGTCACCCCTCACTTACCTAATTGGGTAAATTCTTGTTCATCAAAATTAATTGTTGGTAAGTGTCTTTTTTCCGGTAACCATTTTAACGGGTAGGAGTCTTTTCTCTCACTTGCCGGTAAGATTCTTGGTCCTTGTTATGCCACTTACTGGGAAAGGTTTTCGGTCCTTGCCATCCTCACCTGATAAGGTAAATGACATCCGTTAAGTGGTTACCCAGTAAGCATTTTGTAAACGGCCCTTTAGTGCCTCATGAAACTCTAGTTCTAATTTTTCATGGTGTCACTACAATAAAAAACAGGTCTTTTAGATAGCCAGATGTCCTAATGGGACCAAGAACTATGCGTCTTATCTATAGGTGTTGCTATAAAAAAGGCTAATAGAATGATTTACTTTTTGTGTTTTATTATGTTGTCTAACTTCATGGATAGAACTTCTTAGGTCATGTAATAATGTTCTAACAACTTAATGTAACGTCTCGGATGGTATTGATGCTTTTGACCATCCAATTTGGGAATTTTTTCATCATTTAGGGATTGAAGCTAGAACTCTGCACCACAGACAGGGTTGGGCTGCTATCAAACGTCACCCGCATCTTCCGTGAGAACAGCCTCACGGTCACAAGAGCAGAGGTGGCGACCCGTGGCAATAAGGCAGTGAATACGTTCTACGTTCGTGATGCTTCCGGGTACCCTGTTGACCTCAAGATTATCGAATCTATCAGGAAAGAAATTGGACAAACGATACTTAAAGTGAAAGGGAACTCTCAAGATTCTACCCAAGGTCCTCAAGAATCTCCCACCAGGTTTCTATTTGGTGGCCTTTTTAAGTCCAAATCTTTTTGCAACTTTGGCCTTGTTAGATCCTATTCCTGAAGGTATACCGCTAAACACCCTTTTCTAGATCTGGTAGTTGGTTCCTTGATCGATCGCCTAGATGGTTAAATCCAGAGTAATTATTACAACAAAATCGGGTTTACTTGACACCAAGAGTGTACAAGTGTCTTTATAGACTAGTTTACAGTACTTAAGTTTATAGGACCAAATAATTGTGCGTCATATGTAAAAATATTTCAAAACATTTACAAGACGTTTTTGGACGGCTCAACAAGTTTTTTAAGACTTCTGTAAAATAGTATTATTTTTTTATAGGAATAAGAAACTTCTTTCTCATAAGACAAACATCATGTAATGTCATATAAAAAAATTAATAAGATGTTTATCTTTAAATTATCCTAAAAATTTGTTAAGACGTCCAAAAGCATCCTATTACATGGGACACATAATTGTTCGATACTTATAAAGTAGTATATTATGGCATTTTGACATTTTTGGTGTCTTATGAACCCGTTTTTGTCGTAGTGAATGATGATCTAACGACTTGTATCTCATACAATGGAAGTATACGTTGTTCTAGATTTGGCCATTTTAGCAGGTGGAAAAGGACACCCCAATCGAAGCAATTTCTAGACACGGTTTTTTTTTTTTTCGAAGCGGTGTTTGTAAATATCCTTTAGTTTTTCTATTATTGATCCAACACGAAGTTTGATCTAGGAAAGTGACAGAATAATTTGTGTAAATATTGTTAGATTTCTAGTTATCTAGTGAAGGGTTGTTCTTGATTTGTTTGTGAGTTCACATTAAAATCTAAGGTTGTTCTGATGGATTAAATTTGATTGTTTTTTATCTGATCTTGTGAAATAAAGAAATTGGTCCATGTATTGTTTTGGAGAGGGGCGTTAACGAGTCGAGCTGTAGGTTATTTGAGCTCAATGATTCGTGTTCTTGTAACTTTTTCATGGTATAGAGAATTCGAGTTCAAATATTTTTCCAGTGTTTGTGCTCGAGCTCGATACTTGTTTCTGAATTTGAGTGGCTTGTTTATTCGTTTGATCTCAATAATTTTGAAACTTTGACTCTGATTTATGAATATATGAACATGTTTTGCTCAAAAAATGTGTTCTTGAACAGTTCGACTTGACTCGAACAATTTAATCGAGCTTTTTTAGTTTGAACACACCCAGTTGAACATTGGTGTTATGGATTTTAGCTCGCTAAGTTAAACGAGTTTTGGTGTGTGTTTGAGATTGACTCAAGTTTGAGAATCATTAAGCTCGAACTCGAGTAGGTTGTTAAGAGTTCCACTCATTAATACACTGTAATTTATTACTCATGTAATGCAGTCTTATCTTAAATAACACGTTTCATCTTTTCGGTTTAAATTACAAGATGACCATCGTGGTTTTAAAAAATGTCCATATTTGATCCCTCCCATTAACAACCTTTAAAAATTTCATTAAATGAAGGATATTTTCGTCTTTTTATAGATCGTTAGTCTTTTACTAAATCAAAAACCATAGAGAACAAAATCATAAAATTGATTTTCCTTGAGTAAAAAATAAAAATCAATAAAATGACGGAAACGTTCCTCATTTAACAAATGCTTTTTAATAGTCGTTGACGTCTTTGTAAACCATGATGGTCATCTTGTAATTTCGAAACTACAGAAACAAAATATATTATTCTTGACAAACCATAGGGACCAAATTTGTAGTTTACTCAATGTTTTTAAACTTAGGTGTAGGTGTCGGGTACGCTTACTCATAAGAGTAAATAATTTCACTTAACTTACCCGGTAAAAAATTACTTCATTAAAATAGAACATTTTTATCTAGTAAATGCTTAATGGATAAGAGTCGTCACTTTCACTTATGTGTTAAAACTCTTGGTCATTGTTATCGTTTTTACCGGGTAAGATTTTCAATCATTGTTATGTTCATTCGATAAGATAAAAAATAATAAGACCAACACTTATCAAATAAGCATTTAGTAAACAATTTTAGATATAAATACAAATGAATAAAATAATTTGAGGCTTCAAATAGAACAACCTAGGGGGTTTTGCCAAGTGGCTATTGTTTATTTCTGAGTTAAGATCCGTGTGGCTATTGTTTATTTCTGAGTTAAGATCCATTTACTAAACACTTATCTAATAAGAACTTATTGATAAAATTCAACGCTATTATTTACTTACTGGATAAGATTTTAGTCTACTAAAACGGCATTGTATGCAACAATTTACCCAGTAAGCGCTAACCATGGTAAGAGTCGTCGCACTCACTTACATGGTAAGACTTGTGGTCTCTGTCTCGCTCTTATCGGGTAAGATTTTTGGTCCTTACCATATTCATCTGGTAAGGTAATGTGAGTTGGTAAACGCTTACCCGGGTAAACATTTGGTAAACGGCTCCTTAATCGTATCTAGTAACCCAACATTTTTAAATGTCAACGGTTTAGATCTTACTAACAGGTATGTTCCTGACATTTTATAGGCCCTGAGTGAATGTAAAAACATGGCACATCGTAAGAAACAAGGCTTTTTACCAATTACTTTTGTCGTTGCTAAAAGTTCATTTATCATCAGAAAGGGTATATAACAACATGTTGTCGCTATAACTTGTGGCGGAAACATGTCATCGCTAAAAGACGCATCGTCAAAGCTCACTTTTCTTGTAGTGACCCTCGGTAAATACAAAAAAAATTCAAAAATGTTCTTCATTAGCATAAAATTGAGTACAAAAAATGCTAATAATTTACAGAAAAAAAATCTTATTTATTATTTATCTTTATTATAGATAAAAGAGTACTTAAATTTACGTACTTCTTATTAGATAATTTGAAACCAAGAATATAGAAACTATGGTTGATAAATTTTTATAAAAAGTAAGAATTTTTTTAGTTCATAACTGATAGCTATATTTTCTTGGTTTAAAATTAAGGTTAAAAAGCCTTTTATTTTCATCATTATAAGAAAATAATATGTTTATTTAATCTATATTATCTTTTTGTTTGTTTGTAGAAGCCTAGCCCAAAAAGAAACATTTTTGTGGACTTCATCAAGGCCCACAGTCCAGCAG